CCTGGGGAAAATACAATAAAAATCATTTTATGAAATACGTTGTTTTAAAAAAAAGCACAAAATATGAAAGTCAAAGTAATTTACTGCTCAAATGAGCATTGAGGCAGTGCTCACCTGAGCCCTGAGAGCCAGAGGAAGAAAGTCCAGATTTATATAGCAGGGGAAAGTATTCTCCACAGGACAACCACTTGTAACGGTCACAAAGAGTGGTACTCATTCTAACCAATGAAGCATGACAGGCCGAGTTCAAGCAGGATTTGTGAAACTAAACGATAAACTATTTTTTATTTTACCAGGTAAGACCCACTGAGCTATATAGCTCTTTTGTCAGAAGCAACCTGGCCACAAATACTAGCTAAACTTAGTGGCTTATCATCATGTGGAAATGTATAGCAGCCCAATACTCGAAATGCACGTTGATTCTAAATGTGGAGGGAAAAACCAGAGGACCTGGAGAAAAACCCACGCAACCACGAGTAGAGAGACAGAGACGCAAACTCCAAATACACAGGCATTAGGGTCGGGATCGAACCCACAATCTCCTGCATACCAGACGAGGTAGTTAACATCTCGCAAGATTCTAATCGCAAGCTTCTTGCTCTACCGCAGGGCCACCTGGCAATTTCTTTTCATTTTGATAAAAAAAATGCACAGGCATTCCAGAATATTGTTTCCCCGACAGTATTTGTTCAAACAAGATAACATTGAGACTATACTTTCTTTTTGTCAAGTCTCATCAGCACTGTGTGGCATGATTAGCCAATGCTACCTAGGAAACCTGATGCCACAAGATATTGGTCATTACAAAAAAAATAACCGCATCCATCTTTGCACAAATAGTTTTTTTTAAATCAAAATAAGCCAATTTTTGTCAGCGGGCAGCTACGCACATGCCAGAGGCAACGTCTGAGCATACGAGGGACTGCAAAGACCATGCAAGCATTAGACACTTTTACCACCTCTTTGCTCTCTCATGCCCTCTTTGTTTCAAACACCGAACGACCCCCCCGCCCCCGCCAAGGTGGCCTTGCTTGCCTTTTCCCCTTCTCAAGACGCAGAAAAAAATGAAAAAAAAAGTTACCGCGTCGTAAAATGGGGGACGAGCAAATAAAAAAAAATCCGCTCATCAACATTTTGGCCGCTAAACTTTAGAGCAACTAATTATACATTCAACAGCAACAACGCAAAAAAGATTTGCGGCGCTCAATGATGGGGCCCTGCGTGTGCGGTGTGGCACGAAAACGACGAATCGCTCGTCACGGGTTGCGTCCCCGAGACAACAGCACTCGTCTTTAGGAGTAATCTGTAAGGGGGCTTAACAGACAGACCCTGTTAAATGATAGCCGCCATCCTCGCCAATTACCATCATCATCATCATTACCATCAACATTCCAAAGTTAGGAATGCATACCTAATTTTAAATCAGTGTCAAACACTGAAAAAAACGAGGAGATGAGCGTCTTATGCAGACACAAACTCCCTTTGTAAATGTGATTTTTGTTCTCTAATTGGGTAAAGCAAGAGTCAGTAAGCTTGAGCACAGATTCACGGTTGGGAAGATGCAGTTCATGACTTCGTGAATACATTGCAAAATAAAATGTAAAGTTCCACGATGAAAGATTTTCAAAACGATTAAAATCAGCAAATCGACGTGACCACTTAAATTCATTAAAAAAAATCACACAAGAGTGAAATGTGACTCAACAGTAACAAAAATGTGCGCACGAGAGATGGGGTGAAACAGCAACACATTCAAATGGCGGAGATCTTAAAGGGTACTCATGATAATGGAGCAGTTGTTCCGGATTATGTTTGGATATTAGTATAAGCCACTGTATGCAATTTTTGCTGGAAAATCTACAATGACACGCTGCTATTTCAGATTTAAATTTAAGTTTCAAAGCAACTTTATTTGCCGACAGTTGGGCACTTGTTTCAATGTTAATATTTCAGAGCAGCAGACGGTTGTGGCTACAGCGTGTTGCTTCAAGGAGGTATCTGAAAGCAATTTTGCCAAAATGAAACATTGGCAACCATCCAGCCTCTCACTTAACACGACAAAGCAAAAGCCTTACTGGTTTGTTATAAATTGCATCCACGTATAAACTAATCAGTCATCAAACTGTGCTTGTTTCTTGTTGGCAGGATCATTATTACAGTATTACATAGTTCAACTTGCAATTGATGACAATTCCCCACAGATTTGATCAAGATTTCAGTCAAGATTACGAAGGCATGCGTGTATAAGGCACCCTATTCAAACATTCATTAAGAGTACTTTGTTATCAGCCACTTAAATTGAGTTCACAAAAAAGCTACAGAGGCTCCACATTGTGTGTGGATTTTGCCGCTGTTGGCAGCCCTCGCCCGCTTGTTCTTCTCAAGACATCAACTGCCGTCCGCGTAATTTTCCCACAAACCCCCCCCCCCCCCCCCCCCCCCCATATCGTTCTCGTCGCTTTCTGCCAAACTCTGAAGAAACACACGGGGCCACCACCCGTTTATGTCTCCGCCAATTTGGCAGCAACCAAAAAAAACACGGACTGCAGTATCGCGATGGGAAGTGACACACAAACGGCCGACAACGCGAGCCAATTTCACGCGCTCGCTCTGTGTGCCACGACAGGAATCGCAAACGTTATATATTACAAGCAACGTTTACACGTACGGAGAGAGACTTGCCACCCATAGTGTACGAACGTGGAACTGCAACTAATGGGTGAGCGCAGTCAAAAGAGGTGAACACTGTTCCACACTCGTTTCATCAGACGCGCACCGTGACTTTGACATCAAGCTTGCATGCTTATTACAGGTGCCATTAACATTCTTGTCCAAATCTTCCAGGTCTCACTTGAAAAAAAATGCTGGTTTCAATGGGCTCTTATCTGGTAGGATACATTACAATTTGGATGCATACAGTGACGCAATGCAGCCACATTTCAAGACGCTGTACAAAATAGCACTATGGACAGAAAATAATGTATGGGTTATTTTTAGACCAATTGCTGCAGTGTGTGGATGGTATAACCACAGCCCGAGCCACATTGATTGGAGTCACAGTTATTCACACAGGAGAAAGCGCTATTTGAAAAGTACATATTTGACTCCCTCGGTCAATTCAGCCACTAATGAGTATGTGGGTGGGCAAGTCAACCTCAGTGCTGCGGAGACATAGCTGACCAAGCATATCAACGATTACACCAGACACATTTTGATTTAAAGCTTTCGTGACTGCAGGGATTCATATTCTTGGTTCTTTTGGTAAAGTCACCACGTAGAAGGGAAACAATAAAATAATAACAATATAAAACAATAAAATTCTCACGTTTCGACTGCAACACAAGCAATCATCATCAGGTGTGAGCAATCATCATCAGGTGTGATGATTGCTTGTGTTGCAGTCGAAACGTTGTGAGAATTTTATTGTTTTATGTTTTTTTTTATTTTATTGTTTCCCTTCTACGTGACTTTACCGAAAGAACCAAGAATATGATTACACCAGCCCTTTATGTTTTTATGTTTTGTGGCCTTAATAGGTAGAGAATAAGAATGCCACAAGCCCTTCAGGGTGATTCATTTATTGGTACCCCACTAAAATAATCTGGAGAAATTCTAGAGAAAGCAACATTTCATTTCAAAGCCTCGACACATCTCCCAATCATCTCAACACAGTTAATACATCTGTTAACGCTCGCCTCTGTACGATATATGGGGCACTCACTTTCACCACATTCAATCACCAATTCAGCAGAAAGTGTGAGTGTCATTAGAAATCATTGGGGCACATTTGAATAGATGCCCGTGTATAATGAGTCCTTGACTACATTTTCAATTAAACTGAAATATGGGGGGTTTCTGTGCAAGAGGGCAGACATGGGGGTGACATTGGTTCATGTGATCACATGGGCTGTTTGCACGAAGCAAGCGTGCTGTCACGTGGGATGATGCTGGGGGTGCACGTGCCGTCTGTACGTGCATGTGACGCTCAGATAACACGGAGGGACAAAGAGTGTTTGAATGACAGATGTGTGTTCTTGTCTGTAATAAATGTTTGTCTTTGTGACTGCTGTCACAGATTGCAAACAGAACAAAAGGCAATTGAATGGACATTTTTCTCTACTCCCTACAGGGTAAATATTTACGTTTTCAATAAGGGCTGTAATGCCCTAATCGCCACGTCAACGATCATATTAAATTCGGAACATCTGTGTCCTAGATACAAAAGAGGAAATAAATGAATGTCTCAAAACAGGGCATCCCTTAAATGTATACCACGTGTTTGTAAGACATCGGACACAAAAAGGCCATCCAAATGTATCAAGTTAATTAGTAAACTTTTGTCATCTGTAAATATTTAAAGATTTTCTTGAATTGCGTGTTTACTTAAAGAGACACCGAGTCCACAAACAGCAATTCTGGGCGTACATATAAACAACTACAGCTATGTTAAACAAGACGTTTCACGTTGAAAGACGTTCCACATTGAAAGGTTCGTGTAAATAAACGGCGTGTTATGCCAGGTGTACGTTTTAGCCGCGTTGTACCCAGCAGCAAACTTTGGGTTTAATGAAATGACAAAGCAGAACATGACAACAACAGATAGTTGACTACATATTATGACACATTAAGATGGAGCAGACTATATATTAAAATCACATTGGAGTAGACCATGCAGACTCTAGCACAGAAGGCATAATGTCGTGGAAACTAATATAATCCTAAATTTAATAATAATAACAAAAAGACTTGCCACTTTCATCATTAACACTGCTTTGTGTTTTAGAATTCATTTTGTGTGTAGTTTATTGCCCTCCCCCACACCTCCAATTAACAGAGTTGGCTGGGTAGGTGCGAAAAAGTTAAACATAAATAGGGAAAAGTCGTTTTTTTAGAACCATGCTTTGACGAATGACTGTGTTTTAGTGATCAAGGTGGTGCGAATCGCTTCGATGCATGCACGGGACCGTTTCGCTTTGCTCCCGACCATCGCCCGGACTCACTGTTGATGTGGTCGACATAGTAGACGCCAACTTGGGGATCGTAGGCCTGCTCCCAGCCGTACGGCAGCTCATCCCCGATGCAGTCGGCAAACGACAGCGGCTTGGTCAGCCTGCGAGCGCACGGCGCACAACGGGAGGGCAGCAACAGCAGCGGCGCGCAGATGAGCGGGACTCGTGGAGCAAGCGCAGGGGCATCGCAGGCATCGTTTTGACTCGAAGTAAAAGTCAGCTGGCTTGCAGAGGACGCCGTAGCAAGAGGGGATGATGACGGTGGTCACAATTAACGTGGAGTGGCGGACAAACAAGGGAACGCGCCAGCGTACGTCCACTGTGCAGATGGGAGCGATGAAACCAACTCGTGTGGAGGTGCTTATCTTATATATTTATATAACACCTTGACCAAGACGCTGAATAAAAAAAAAGGATCTAACTGGTAAGTGCAGAGATTAATAAAAATAAAATGTTTTATTTTTATTGTTTGTATTATTTCCCTTCTACGTGACTTTACCGAAAGAACCAAGAATATGAATCCCTGCAGTCACGAAAGCTTTCAATCGAAAAAGGATATATTTTGACAGCAGAAGTGTGAGTTGATGAGAAGTATGGTGGCACATTAATATAAAGATGCGTGCAATAAACGACGATGAAAGTGACAATGAGCGCCTAGTGATGAGCGAGTGTGATGAACGGGTAGGGAACATTGGAAAGGGAATGATGGTGTTCATGATGGGGAAGGGGGTAGAGTAGTTTGGTTAGGCAAGGGAAAAATAAGTGTGTTTTAAGAGAAGAACGAAACATTGGAGAGTGAAGCTGACTGTTCGACATGTAGGGGCAGTTTGTTCCAGAGCAAGGAGGCCAGAAGTGATAACGATAACAAGAGAATAGTGATTGGGCACAAGGAGAAGGGGGAACACAGCTGCTCGGTAGATTGTCACATGACCGGTGAGTGAGAGATGGTTGACAATTGCTTGGGGGGAGTCCTTCATCCACAAAGGGGATGATTGATCATGGCTGACGATGATGATAACGAAAGCAGTATCCATAAGCAGGGTAAGCAAACGGGTATTTTAAAAGTGCTCTGCGTATTTTGTTTTAATTCGTTTTGTTTACCCAAGAAAGCTTTGCCGAGACTCATGACTTTTTTTTCAGGAGGGTCCTGCAGTTTGCGCAGTAGGGGGCAACGTTGCAATGAGTAAACTCAGTTGAGTAATTTACAGGTAGTTATTTTTTAATTGGGATGTTTTGGCAAAACCCAGTCACGTCGTGTGTTTTTGTTAAGCTATAGGAGGAAACGAGAGACCTAGAGAGAAAGCACACAGAACATGAGAACATACCAACTCCACGCAGGAGCACGCCCATGTACGGATTTGAACCCAGGCCCCTTCTGGCTAGGGGTGCACAAGTATTACCCATGTATCGCACTGCTGCTCAACAGAAAGTATTAACTGGTAAGTGCAGAGATTGTTTTAAATTGGATGTTATTGAAAAGCATTACTCACGTATAACACTATGTGTTATGTAATCATAACATCAGCAGCAGGGCCGATGAGGGCCATTTGTTTTTTGGTTGTTGGAAATGGATAGATTTAAAAGTTGGAATCGTCATTGCGCAGAATGGATGTCATTTCTTGTTGCACATGGTACACCACACTCAGGGTTCGGACGGATAACAAGCCACGATCTGCTGCGCCAAACCAGAATTCAGCAGTATTGATTTTAATATCAGCACAAAAAGTTAGGCGCATTCCAAAAATGCTGGTTTTGAACGTTCAAATACCAACTTTTTCGTTGTTGTAAAGGCAAAACTCCAGGCAGGAGGAGGAGGAGAAGAAAACCTCGCAAAACCCTTCTATCGTTTCGGTCGTCTCTCAGCATAACAAAAAAATGTTCTTTAAAGAGACGGGGGGGGGCAGGAGAGGAAAAAATAAGCATAGACCTCAGCAGCAGCAGCAGAGGCGGCGGCGCGCTCAAGTGTGGCGAATGTCTTGGCAACTGTTCGGCAGAGCGGCGGCGAGCACTCGGCTCGCCCCTCCCGACGACCACGACGCTAGGAGACGCAGCCATTCATTCCGCATTCCTGGATCGCAAAATCTGTGCAGCCCACACGATGTCGTAAACAGCCAGGCAGGCAACCCACACACGACTCTGCAGCCACGCGTCCACCCCCACCACCACCACAGCCGCGGCGGTGATGGCCCAACCCCCGCCAGCTCAACAGTCAGCTCCAACCACTTGCACCCCCCCCAACTCCTGCCTCCTCCTCCTCCCCTAGTTAATCACTAAACCGTGTGGAATGCACCCCCCCCCCCCCAAGTTTAAACTACCCACCAAGAATTACACACTAAACAAAACCCGCTCCCCGCCTCTCCCCCCTTCCCTTCAGCGATGGCATGCCCGATTTGTTAATCAGAGAGCGCGTGGGTCCAGCTGAAAATGTATTTGGTGGCAGAAACGTCGGTGATGTTGAGGTTGTGATCACCGATAGTGGTTATGGCTGCAGAGTGGGTGGGGGACAGGGCTCGTGGCCAGTTGGCAGGAGACACACACAAAGATGATGCCCGGGTGCCACCAAGGTAGAGTGCGCTAAGGTGACTTCGACTGGCAGCTGCACGGGGGGTGGGCGGCTCGAGCCAGTAGAATTTTCACAAGGAGTAGTTTATTCTTCTATTTTATAAAACATTACGATAAGGCCAAGATCTCGGACATCCTCCAGAATACTTTTTTAGCAAATGCAAAAAAAAGGAAAATATAAAATCTACATGTAAAAAAGACTTTAATAAACAATGTTTTTTCACGAATGCTACCTTCCAAGTGGTATGGTATAAACTTCGGATATCCTCCAGATTTTGGGATTAATTTGCATAAAGACACGAATTCTTAGACGGTGAAACAACCAAGCTCTGCGTCACTCGAAATTCACGCAAAAGAGGCGAAGGCCTTGAAGGGTCTGAAAAGTAGCGTAGATCGAATGCTGTGCAGCAGGATTGCTTTCCAAACTCGTGTCTCCACGAACCTACAAAAAACCCCAAACCCAATCGCTATGAAACGTAACACACAGCTTACCAACTGCAATACTACGCAGATGTGTATGGTGGTCAAATTGGAAATGCGGGTACAGATAATGGGGAGTAAAAAAAAAGTTTACATTTTTTTTAAGTGTAACGTTCGGCTTCCTCGCAGCACGCGCAGTATGCGTGCGTTAGAACGCGTGCACGAGGGTGTTATCTTGCGCGTCTGACAGCCGCGGTGCGAGACACAAATCAACCACAGTGAAGTGACACCCACACTTACGGCTCTTGTTATTTGTCCGTTTTCACTCGTGTTCTCTAAACGTGCGTTCGTATGAGCGTGCGAGTGCGTGGGCAGCGGTGGTACAGTGATTAGCGCGCTGCACTACGGACCTGGCGAACAGAGTTCGACTTTCAGCCACGGCCAACATCAGTGATGTTAATCTGAGCTAGTACTGGGCCTCCCCTAGATCGACTCAGCCTCATTTGAGTACCTGGTGCATTGCCTATATATCACCACTAGAAAACAAAGGCGGTCGGGCATGGTGCTGGCCACCCACCCCTCGTGTGCCGTGCCAGCCTTCACAGGTGCCCACTAACCGCACGTGCCTCCAAATTCTGTTATGGCTATACGGGGGATCTTTGTACGTGTGTGTGCCTGTTTTAGTACACATAAGGTACCGTGCTGTAGTGATACAGTATTGTACCACGAACCCTAACGACCTAAGTTTAATTCTCAAACACAGCTGATATCAGTACTAGGAAAGGCCTAGGTCAGCTCAGCTTTAGGCGAGTACCTGGTACGGTGTGTAAACATCAGCACTGGGGAGACAAAGGCGGCCAGGGGTGGTGTATGCCACACCACCACCTCCTCGTGTGCCGTGCTGGCCTTAATCGATGTTGATTAACATTACCTGCCCCAACAGTTTAGTAGGCTTGGGCTTGGACAGGAAACATCAACACAAGGGATGACAGACAGCAGGTGGTCAAGAATAACCACGCACGCAGCGGCAGCACAAGGAAGAACACGCCCGGGAGGATGGCCATCGTGAATTATTACGTGATGAATTCCACACGCGTGGAGAAGCTAAGATGGATTGTTACATCACGGGACGGTGGGAGATGGCGACAATTTGGGAAGTTATTTTAATCATCCATGCGATCGATTGATCACGGCTGACGACGACGATTGCTGTTGTGCAAATCAACTTCACTTGAGATGGTATTCCGCGGAATGTTTCACAATATTATTACACGCCGAGGACATATCCTAGGATTGCCCCTAACCAGTCGAGGCCCCCTTTCATGGACGGGCCCTAACAGCTTGTTATTTCCTCTTGTGTCTGTAGAACCCCCCTACAACACTAAATCACCACCACCACCAGCAGCAGCAGCACTAAACCCAAGTGGGAAATATGGTCAAGGTCCACCATTGTCAGCCTCTGTGCAAAAAAAAAACACAATAGCGTATTTTCATTCTCTAGCGGCTACAAACACGTGGACAAGAAAACAAGCGATAAACCCCCAAGAATGAACATTTCTGCCATGCGATTTGCCACTGCTCACAGGCTTCCCGAAGCTGCACTCAGAGGCGTTGTTCTCACAGCGGACACAGCAATGTGGACGACTCGTTGGAAAGTCGACCACAAAAGCCGTGATGAAATGAACACAGTTTGGATTTACGAAGCACCCACGTACAACCGTCTCTCTGCAATCATAGGCGGAGTTTGATTTCTATATTTGAGGGGGGGGGGGGGCAGGGGGCAGGGATTCGCTTTGTCCCTCGCATTAGGAATCACGGTGGTGCCTAATTAATTGATTTGGGGCAACATTTAAATAAAAAAATAAGAAACGCGTCCAGTTTGGGAGGGGCATTGCCCCCCCCCCCCATGCCGCCGTCCCCCTGCAAACTCAGCCCATGGTGGCAATCCACTGCTGGATGAAGGCCTCCCCCAAACCACCGCCATCTCCTGCGATGGGCGCGTATCAGGAAGGTTAATCGTTTCGTGGAGTGGATTTAAAAGTATTATTGTTTCAACAATGCCATTATCGAGAGATGCACAAATACACCTACAAGTGTATGAACAACTTCAAACTAAACA